GCAGATTTATCCAAGCTCTCAAAATGCTTGTTTGTTCAAGACTCATTCTCTTAGCACTTTACTCCAGAACCCTGACTGTGCTCAGTGAAGGAGGTCTGAGTTTGCTTTGAACGCGCATAGTAAACAGATAGTAAACACCCGCAAATGCCAACACACACACTGACCACAAGTGACCTCTGGCTGACAGCTGGGCACTGGGCTCATAGCTGGGGGACTGGTCTGCATTGGCACAGTCTGCTAAACTCCCGGCTGCTCAGCTCTGTTTTTCTGTGATTCAGGACTGACTGTGAGGGTTGGAAATGTAAAGGTAATGTTTTGTAGCAAAAGGAAGGGAGTGGTTGACTTTGCAGTCCAGAAGCAGAGGTCCCTGGGACCATCAAGGGAGAAGAGTGGAGTACGGAATCCTACCCAGAGAAACAGTGATGCCAGAGATAGAAGCAGAGAAGATGACGTGGATAAATAGAGTGGCTGGGGACTCTAGACCCAGAGAGGGAGAGGGGCTGTGTGCTGACTACTGGGGGGCAGGCTTGCAGGGTATACCCTTTGGTTGTTTGATGATGCATGAAGGGGACTGTAACCATGGCAATAAAAACGATATATGAGAGGATGAATGTAAAGCTAATGTTGTCCTTTGTAAACTACCACATAATTCACAATAAAAACTTAAAAACAAAACAAAAACAGTGGTCTGAGGATTTATCCAAATTAGAGAGATGAAGTGATGAGGATTACCTCAGTTTGTCTGGCCCAGAAATGGATCCACTCTATATAACAGAGTTGATCCAACAGGAAAAACACATCATACCTGCTGTTAGGAATGAAGCAGTATCAGAGAACAAGGCACCGAGCCATCCGTAGGGGCACGAAAGCATTGGGAGGGAAAACTTGTGACCTCAGAGAGGACAGGAACTGCAAGTGTAAACTGCTCATGAGAAACTTGTTGGTATTTTAAAAGTGCTTCAAAAGCAGCGACACCAGATATGGAGGCAGAGATGAGGTCTTGGAGAGAAGGAGCAGCTGAGGACTCTAGATTCATGGAAAGAGAGGGACTGAGAGCTGGTGGCCAGGAGGCAGGCTTGCAGAATGTGTCGTTTGGTGGTTTAAATTATTATATGTGCCTGAGTGTTTAAAATAAAAGAGCTAAAATGAAGAGGGGATTATAATCATTGTAAAGAAACAAAGTCTATGATTTGTTGAATATAAAACTGATGATCTGCCCTGTAATCTTTCACTCAATTCACAGATTAAAAAAAAAAAAAAAAGCTTCAAGAGCATAACGATGGATAAAGAAAATCCGAGTGGCCCCATCTTAGCAAAACAAGTCACCTCCAGGACTACAAGGTGGACACTTTTGTCACAGGACCCTGGTATTCTTGCCTATAAAATTCCCCTCCCAGCTGCTCCTCAGAGTGAGGAAGCAGAGTTCAAGACTGCATGATTAACAACCGGGACAAAGCCAAATGGTTCACAGATACATTTCCTTAAGACCACCTCTCTCCCCTTCTCTTATCCACAGCAAAAAAAAAAAGGCAACAAACCCACTATCTCCACCAAGTGGGTTCCAACTCATGGCAACCCAATGTGTTACAGCACAGAACTGCTCCACAAGGTTTTCTTGGCTGTAATCTTTATAGAAAGGAGCTCTGGTGGCACTGTGTGGTAGGCACTGGGCTGCTAACTACAAGGCCGGCAGTTCAAACCCACCAGACATTCTACGGGAGAAAAATAAGGCTGCCTGCTCCTGTAAAGATTTACAGTTTCTGAAACCCTACATAGGATCACTATGAGTTGGAATGGACTTGCTGGCAGTGGGTTTGGTTTTGGTAACCTTTATGGAAACTGACCACTAAGCCTTTCTTCAGTGGTATGGCTAAGGTGAGTAGATGAATGCAAACCATTCATGCCACCAAGAGATGCTTTCCCCAGCAAAGCAGACATCAAAATGTAAAGCAACCCCTTAAGGACTTCCTCTTTTTTTCCAGCATTTCAAAAGAGAAAAGCCCTACAATTCTATTTTAACAGATCCAAAAAGTTTAAAGGAGTCCTGGTGTGGTGCTATGGGCTAATGCACAGCTAATGCACCAGACTGCAAAGTTGGTTCAACTGCAAGGTCAGTGGTTCAAGCTTACCAGCTGCTCCTTGAAAACCCTATACAGGGTTGCTGTGGGTCGGAAACGACTCGACAGCACTCAACAAGTTTAAAAGGTAAGAAAGGTACTTCTCTGACTGAACTTGGCTTTCCAGTCAGTAGGCACCCTGCGCCCCCCACTCCTGCCCAACCCCAGCCTACTCTGTTAGCTTCTACGTGGGAGAATGAAGATCTATTCTCATCTCCATTTCTTTGTCCAGGCCAAACCCATTCTAGTTTTCCAATAACTCCTAACTTACATTTTTCCAGGCCCTACTGCCATTTCTACAAACTCTGCCCATGTCAAGCCAAATCTGACAAAGAGCAAGAGTTCACTTCCCAGTCCACTTTGCCTACAGAAAGTGCAACCATAAGTGGGACGTGTGCACGAGCTCATGACGGCATTAAATAAAGACTCCCTGAAGAGTCACAGGGTCAGCACTGCCACGGTGAACACATTCAACCGGGCACACTTCTCAGTTGCAAGCAACTCTGCCCCATTATAATCACACATTTCCCTCTTGGGACCACAAGTGTCAAACCCCAGGGAATACGTCAGACCATCAGTAGCAATCAAATCCTCGAAAACATCCAGAGCCCAACTAAGAGATGTCAGGAAAACGAATAAAATTAAAATAAAGCCTGCACATGGAAAGACAGAGCAGCCAAGGACTCTAGATTCATAGAAAGAGAAAGGCTGTGTGCTGGTGGCCAGGAGGCTGACTTGCAAAATGTGCCCTTTGGTTGTTTAAATTATTATATATTCCTGAGTGTTTTTGTGTATATCAAAAACAAAACAAAACAAAAAAAAGAGGGAATAGAAGCAAATGATGATGCATGAAAGAGATTGTAATTGTTGCAATGAAACAAAATACGATTGGTTCAGTAAAAACAAAATACGATTGGTTCTCCCAAGTAAACTATCACTCAATTCACAATAAAAGCTTTTTTTAAAAAAATGAAGCCAGCAGTTCCTGCAGAGACAGGAAGGCCAGCTGGAGGCAAGAGAGGAAGGAGGGAAGTGAAGACTCCCTACCAGTGTCTTATATACACATACAATCCAACTGCACAAGTAGAGGTAGCAACTGATTTTGGCAAAGTTGTCACAAATTATTCCTGTGGGAACAAGTGGATATTTGGTCAGCAGAGAAAATGGCAAAGCAAGTAGGAACTAAAAAGAAGCAAAAAGTGACAAATATACACAATTGAAGCACTTGTGAGACTTATTCAGGCCAGGCAACTATAAGTGGCATCCAAGATCAGAAACCCCATATTATAAGGAAACAAAGCTACAATTCCAGCAACTGGACCCTCCAGAACACATGGACACAGCTGCAGGATCTCTCCCCGTACCCAGCAGTGGACTTTCTGCAGGATCTCTCTCCACTCTATTCTTGTTGTTGTTAAGTGCCCTCGAGTCAAATCCTGACCCATAGCGACCCTGTATAGAGTTTCCGGGTGGCTGGTAAGCTTGAACCACCGATCTTGCAGTATAAACGGCTTTGCATTTGGCGGATTAACCCACAGCGCCACACCAGGACTCCTGCTATGTTGTTGTGTTGTTAAGTACCGTGGAGTCGGTTCCAACTCATAGTGACCCCGTCCAGGGTTTCTGTGGCTGTAAAACTTTACGGGAGCAGAACGCCTCATCTTTCTCCCACAGAACTGCTGGTAGTTTCGAACTGCTGACCTTGTGGTTGGCAGCCAGACTCATAACAACCACGCTACCAGAGGACTCCTGCTATATGTGGAAGTAAAGTGGACACGTCTTCAGAGCACATCACTTATGGAACTGATTCCTCTGTATTGATGGTTCTAACTCATAGCAACCCTGTTACAGTCACAAGGGCACTCACAGGCCCACAAGACAACCAAAGTTTTCCATTACTAGTAAGGAGAAGAACCTGAACTAAAAAAATAACACAACTCTCTACTCAAAGGCACAAACGACAACAGGTTGGAACTTCCAGCTTTTCAGAAGGGCCTTATGGGGCTTCGTGCTTCATCATGAAACTCCCAAGGAAGGGCTCTGGGGACTTGGCATGGGATTCTGAAACCTCTCCAGGCCTTCCGAGCTTGAGCTTCCTTTTCCATTAAACCACGTTTGCTCCAGTCTCATGGAAAAGAAATAAACTTGAAGTGGATTTGGAAGAGGATACAGGCAGGAGAGGTTTTAAGTCAACTGAATTAGGAAAGCTTGGGACATAGATGGAACAGGTGGGCCTGTGCGGGCTGGGGGACAGCAATTTAGAAGGCTCCTGACCTGACCAAAAGGGAAAATCAGGCTAAGGGCCTACTTTGGGAAGGGGGCGCCGGAAAATGAAATGCAAAGACCTAACAATTCACGTATTGTGAGGGATGCACGGTGACCAGATTTAAATGGGAACGAGAGACGGTAAATTCTTCAAGAGTTTTAAGAGCTGAATAGCATTCAGCATCCACCTGGGGGTTTGGCGATATGGGCTCAAAGAACTAGGGAGTAGCCAGCAAAGAAGTGCCCTGAGACCGCCATAGGGGTATGCAAACCACGGGGGTCATGGTCCCACACCGGAAAGTGCAAAAATCTTAATTCACGATGACAAGGTGGGAGGAGGGCGAGTTTTAGGCGGGGACTTCTGAAGAGACGTGTGTGGATGTGTAGGGCAGGACCAGGGGTGACCCCAGGCTAGAGGCAGCAGCGATACAGCGAAGAGCTCAGGACCCCGGGGCTAGTCTGAGGGTGCTCAACCTGGGGTGACGGGTAAGAGGACACCTTCGCCTAAAGGCCCAGATCCTCAAGCCTAAACTCTCCAGGCTGGAGGGTGTCCGAGGCGGGGCTGGGCCCATGGCTCGTCGCTCAGGGCCTGAGGAAGGGTGGGGGTCCCAGACTCACGCATCAACGTGCTGAAGGCCACGACGCCGAGGAGCCCCTGCAGGAAGATGCCGAAACTGTGCATGAGAGCTCCGCTCTCGCAGCGGCCCGCCCCGGACGCAACCGTGGAGGGCGGCCCGTCCGGCAGCCTGTGGCTCGTGTTCCCGGTGAGGCCCTGCATGGCGGGCTCGGCCGGAGGGGCGCGGAGCGCCGCCGCCCGCCCGGCCTCGCTGCCTAGCCGGGCCGCACCTCAGAGCTCGGAGCTCGGAGCCCGGAGCCCGGAGCCGGGAACCCGAGCCCGGAGCCGGTACCTCCGCCCGGCCGCCCACTCGGCGCCTCGCGTAACCCGACGTCTGAGATCGCGGCGATTGATTGGTTAAGCGCGGCGCGGGGGCGGGCCTCTGCGCTCCCTAGGGGGCGGGGCTCCGCCCGGGCAAGGGGGCGGGGTCTTGGGTGCCCGCCCACAGGTGGGCTACACCTGGTGAGCAGGGCTGCGTAGACCCAGTGCGAGCCTGCAACGCCTATCTGCCTTTCGGAAAAAGCGGAGCAAGTACGGTCTGTGGCAAAATTATTCTCCCCTTTCAGATAAATTTCTCATCTTTTAGAGAATATATTAAAAAGAACTCCTGGATCTCACTGTCAGAGTCTGACTCAGAGTTCAGACGTGAGGCCCAAATTTTCAGTAAGCAACCTGGGTTATTCAGAAACTAGTTGAGGAAGTCTGACCGCACACAGGCGTATTCCGTCCAACCAAGATCTTTAGTGAAGCCCTGGTGTGGTGTTTTAGGATAAACCACTAGACCACAAGGTCAGTCTGAACCAAATCGTCGGCAGTTCAAACCCACCAGTCTCTCTTCAGAGACCCTACACGGGGTGGCTATAAGTGGAAACTGACTTGACAGCACTTTAAAACAATGACAACTTTCCCTCATGTTAATACCCACTATCCTGAGCCAAAGATCATTAGCCAAGCCCCAGAGTTGATCCTCCACGCCCCAAAACTGATTTTAACCAGTCATTCCCATCATAGTCATTTAAAATATACAAGTTTTATACTGAAAACAGGGAATCTGGTGGTGCTGTATGCTAAGTACTGGGCTGCTAACCATAAGGGCTGTCCGTTGAAACTCACCAGCTGCTTGGCAGGAGAAAGATGAGGTTTTCTGCTCCTGTAAAGATTTAGTCTAGGAAACTCTATACAGGGTCACTATGAGTTGGAATTGGTTCATTGGCAGTGGGTTTGTGTCTTTTTAGTTACTGAAACCATGATAGTCACATACAACCCCCACTGTGTTCACTGAGGAAGTACAATGACACACCTGACTAACTTTGCCAGTCTCCAATATCCTCCTCCGCACACACATTTATTCCCATCCAACTTTTGTCCGCCTAACAACTTTGCTTTCTGCTTCTAGGTTCTCATTGTCTCATCTGCTCTCCAGGCATCTCTTGTGGGCACTAGAGAGCCCATGGCCTTCTTAGTGGTCAGTTCACGCAGGCTGTTTATTTCAGTAGACATATTGGGCTACATTTGGTGTACAATAAATATCATCTTTATGGAAATATTTCTCTAAAAAACGTTGTTGTTAGGTGCCATCGAGTCAGTGCTGGCTCATAGCAACCTTATGCACAGCAGAATGAAATACTGCCCGATCCTGGGAAAACCTCACTATTGTTGCCACGCTTGATCCCACTGATGCTGCCACTTGGCCAATCCATCCAGCCACCAAGAAATTCCAGTTACATGAGAGTTCAATACTATTTACAAGTGTTCATTATTAACAGGGATATTAACCTGATTGTTGTTAAGTATCATCAAGTCAGTTCTGACTCATTGCAACCATGTATAGGGGTTTCAAAGCTACAAATCTTTGTGGGAGCAGAAAGCCTCAGCTTTCTCCTGGGGAGTGGCTGGTGGACTCGAACCGCCAATCTTGTGGTTCAGAGTCCAGGACTTATCCTATAAAGTTATGATGCTTCCAACCTGATTATTGTTGTTGTTGTGTTAAATGCAATCAAGTCAGTTCTGACTCATAGTGGCTGGCGGCCTTGAACCGCTGACCTTTGGCTAGCAGTTCAGTACTTATCCTATACCACCACATCAGGAGTCCAACCTGATTGTAGAGTACAAAAATGCTATCAGCTTACGACAGCATATTTCCTAGCCATTCTCTTACTTACAATGCACTTTCCCATCTCCGTGCCTTAACCTGCCATTCTAGCTGCACCGAGTGGTGGTGGTGGTGGTGATGTGCCATGGAGTCGATTCCGACTCATAGTGACCCTGTACAGGGTTTCCAAGGCTGTAAATCTTTATAGGAGCAGAAAGTCTCATTTTTATTCCACAGAACAGCTGTTAAGTTTCGAACTGCTAACCTTGAGGCACCGAGTACTGTTCTCTTTTTCCTGCTCCATAAAATGCTACTCAGACTTCCAAGCCTTCCCCATCTCCCACTGCCTACTTTGTGGTCCCACACTACCTTTTATGTATGTTTACTGCCCCACTAGAACTTTTAAGACAAATTTAGTGACTGTAATATAGATGGCTCTCTTCCAGAGCTGAGTATGAGCCTTCTGAGCACAGGAAACTGATTTTTATTCACCTTTGAATCCAACAGAGTACCTGGCACAGAGAACATGCAACAAAATGCTTAACTTAAACTGGATTTTTAATTCATAAAATGTAAAACTCTTCACAAGTATTGACCATGGTCAAATATAGTAAATAAAGTTAAGAAAATAAATAGTTAAGGAAAAATTGCATTACAGTCTTTAAATCTAAGAAGGGATCTTATGAGGATGTTCAACAGTTAGATTCCTTTCAGAGGGAACTGAAAAAGAAGACGTGCAGTTAAAGAAGAGATTGTGGTTGGTCATAAGTCTACAAATTGCCTAAAGACATAGAAAGCACTAGAGAAAGTATACATAGAGCTGAAAATACGACATTTTTGACAAAGCGCTACTTTGCACAGGTAGATATGGAGGGATCCTAGCCCACTGCTGCTGTATCAGAGCAAATGTAGAGGGGCAAGAAGCAGTCTTCAGAGAGAAGGGGCAGAAGACTCAATGAAAGGAGCAAGGTAGACATTGGGAAATGTGGCTCTTCTTACTGTTCCTAAATAAGAAAGAAAAAGTACTTAAATCCAGTGGGAAAGAGCCAGACAGCTAGAGAGGTGGGGAAATTCTAGAAAGGTTCATTTTGTTTAAGTAAAAAGGAACTTTCTCCTCCATACAGAGATGAAAGATTTTTTAAAGAATTTATTCTGATCAAGATGTCTTCTTTGCTGTCAAATCTGCACAAAGGAAGTTACACACAGCTTAAGATATATTTTCATTTTCTCATAACCACTTACAAACTATCATAACATACTGCAAGTTTATATACACTCTTGTTTACCAAAACAAAAAGCCAAGCAAAATATTCTTCCAAAATAGTTTTTTTTTTTTTTTTTAAATCCTTTGAAGTTATACCACCAGAGTGGATGGGGGTTATTTAATAGACATTCTTTAATAGACACCTTGAGTTTACTTTATCTTCAATGCGTAACTTTTGAAATTAAGGGAAAAGCATCCAGAAGGAAGGATACAATGCAATATGTATTTCATTGTGTTCCAAACAAGCAATTCAAAAAGGTAAAAAGCAAAATACATTAAACAAAGTGCATCAGTTCCAATGAGTCAGTATTAGAAAGAGGTCTTAAGGGTGGTACTGGAACCAGCCAGGAGTCCCTCACAGGCAGACCTCTGATTGTCTTTAGAAAATATTCAACCCCACCTCCCTCCAAAAAAAGAAAGAAGCTCTTAAAAGCTCCAGAGAAACTTTCAAACTACCTTCCCCAGAGGCATCTTGCAAAAGGAGCTAAGGAAATACCAGCTTTAAGTGTCTCCACTTCAAAATCTCTCAAGCAACTGCTTTGTGACTTGTTTTGCCCCTCAAAGCCTACCGTCATCCTTTCAACACTATTTATCTACCTCCATTCACTAAGACATTCAATTGAAGTACCTGAGAACAGCAGTGGTGGCAACATTTCACTGGTCAACATCAACTCCAGAATTCGCTGGAGATCCTTCTCTCCCAGGGTCAGCATTCTAGTGCTGGTGTGGAAGACTTGTTCACCAGGGCTGTGGCTTAGTTTCCTTTTAAAGTCCTTTTGTGACAGGCCATAGCACCAGTACAGACCCAACTGATGTGTTAAGTCAGAAAAGGCATAGATAGAAAGGGAGTTTAGGCCTACTTCTCCACCCTCCTCAGTCCCCACTCCTGGTTTTGGTGGCTCTTCTGAAAATCTAGGACTTTTTTAACACTGCAGCCAAGAAAACCCATCACCAATGCATTTACCCCTTCCTTAGGCTGTCCCCAGAAACAAGACGGTGTGGTCTGGACTAAGTACTGAGAGAAAGGGCTTAGAACCACATCTTCTTCGACTAGACTTTTGAGTTTAGAACTCTGACAAAACTATATATCCGTAAGTGGCTTTTCTGGGGCCATTGCGATTTCCAAAATATGAACATTCTCACATAAGGAGTGGAAGTCATCAAAATTTATTAACAAAATGTTTTAAAGTGAATAAAGGAAGAATTGTAAGTGGCGTGAAAGTGGCTGATTGCTTTTTGGTTTTGCTAGAGGCCTCCATCCTACAGAACTAAGATACCTGGTTACTCAAAATGAACCCAGGATCAAAGAAATTCAAATTTTAAAATGGGGTGCCTGGTTGCCAAGATTTTGGCTTCATTTCTGTTAGTGATGCCTTCTGGTCAGCTTCATAAGGCCAACAAACTTCCTACTTATAACACAGACCACTTTTGAACTTGCACACACTCATGTAAGCAACGTCTCAATACCACAGTTCAAACCCAAGATGTGTTCCACTGTGGAGGCTTAGAGCTTCTATGGAAATCAATTAAGACAGTAAATGCCATCTTAAACATTTAACAGTCTTTGGTGGTAGGTGCTGAATAAATAAAAGTGCTTGTGATAGTTTTGCTAGTGAATGTCTCCATCTAGGTAAATTTTACCTGCTGTTAACGATTCCCTGATGGTCAGCGTGTCCCCTGGAAATACTTTTTGGCTTGAGGGAAAGGAATTGTTTTGAGTCCTCCCCCACCTTAGGCTTTCCTGTAACTTTCAAACTCTATCTAGGTATCTTGCTAGTTACTGGAGAGGAAGTAAAATGACCATCA